CTTCTTACTGTTGGTTTTACGTTTTGCTTAGACTTCCTCCGTTCTGCGGTGCTCTCTCTTTATTGTGACTGAGAAGTGGCTCTAACTATCCTGGAAAATTCAAAATTGTTAAGCTGTTAGATGCAGTGCTCTAACAGCCTCACTGCTCCACCTTCTAGGCCAGGTCTTAGGGACTTGTTTTTATTCTAACTAGATGTTGTGAAACTGAGGAATTCCCAAGAATTCTACTTCTAGCTTCTAAAGCCTCCACATTATTGTTTCTCCTTGCTAGCCTCCAATTCTTCGCCTGATCTCCTACAGTTAATTTCCTTCTGCGAAACCCAGGATCTCCCTGTTTCCCAGACCCCAGGGACATACTGAGTAGGTCTGAGCTTCAAGACCTGCTCTTTCTCACTCTGTCCCATTGCCGAGGCCTCTACAAAAGATTTCTACCGAGGTGATCTGACACGTTAATAGTGAAGATTAATTCCATTAAGTGAACACTCCCAGAGAAGTGTTTCTAACTGAAACTGGCCTGCATTTCATTGAGGGCTTACTCTGAAGTCTCCATTTTAACCTTCTTCTAACCTTCACATCATGGGGACATTTGGCAATGTCTGGAGCCATTTTTGGTTGTCACAATTGAGGGCTGAGGGATTTGCATCCCGCATGGGGTAGGTATGGACCAGGTGTCCTATGCTGTACAAGACACAAAGGGCCAGATCATAGGGAAATTCCATGGACTGTTTCTGGGCAGAAATATTTTGGGAAATGTCCCTTGAAAAACACACAGATGGATAAGTCACTTCTAGCTGAAATTATCCATGTAGATGCAGGAAGGTCTAGAAGGGACTGTGGGGTCCTCAGGGAATGATGAGATGCCCACCTCAGGGTGGGGCACCCTGAAATACAGCTTGCCAGGAAAAAGAAAATGGAAGGCAGGATCTCCTTGCTGAAAGACAGTTTGTTCCCATTTTCGGAGCATGTACTGCTTAATATAAAGAGCCGATGCCGTCAGGATGCACAGATCTCGATAAAGGGGCAAGACATCTTGTATGTTTTGAATCAAGCTGAGGACAATGTCATGTTAGCCAACAGCAAACACTACAGGGAGAGCAGTAACTCAGAGAAAGTGGCAGGAGCAGGTCAGCTCTGTGGACAGTGCATCCATAAGCTCTGCTGAAGCATGCTGGCACTGCCAGGGGGCAAGGCTTGGGTGGTGCCCACGGGAGGGCACAGGATGCAAATCTGGAATCATCTCAGGCCTCAGTATAAGCCAGCCCCATCCACTTATCGGCGCAGTGATCAGCCAGGCCAGTCAGCTGCCTCCCCTGAAAGTCTTCAGAAATAGAAAGATGACTCTTGATCAAGTGCTATGGAGGGTGGGCCTGAGAGCAGAGGACAGAGTCACTCCCATAACCTGCAGGGAATTCTTCTCACCAGAGGGTTGGGCAATACCACCACGAGTTTAAAATAACAAAGCTAACACTGAAAATTCACTTTATTATGTTTTGATTTCACAGAAAATGGAGGCTTGTAAATAACAATAGTTCTTTGTAACAATCTGTGTGACATTTTTACTAGTTTGTGGAAGTGGGAGGTTTGGTTACACAGGAATGCATGTGACCATCAAGGAGGGGAAAAGTCAGGGCTGGAACAACTGTTACAAAAATAATGATCACGTTGGGCTCTGCACATCACCTGTCACCTTGCTGAGTCCCAGAAAAATATAAAGAATATACTCATGGATGACTGCAAACTTCCTCTGCTAGGTGAGGAGAAGTTCAAAGTGAGCACGTCCGAGCTGCAGCTCACACCACAGATGGCCTTCCAGGAGCTCCGCAAGCCTGACCGGCGCCGTGTACCAGCATTGGCACCAGCAAGGTCTATTTGTTAAGTACAATTCTTGTTCTTAAAATTCAAGAAACTCAAGTCAAAGAACAGGAAGTAGACACAGAAAAAGGTTCTGGCCCCCTGGCTAGCGCTTGGTGACTTTCTGAGAGCAGGCACCAGGAGAGCTGAATGAGTGTCAGCCTTGGGCCCGCCTGGGATAACAGAAGCACGGACAAGACGCCAGCGTGGAGATGCCATCAGGCGGGCACGCGCCTGGTCTCGTCACAGCCTGGGAGGCGGCCTGCTGTAGGCCTCCTGGGGCTGATGGCCCAGTCCCTCACTTACGGTGGACCAGAAAAGCCAGTGTGAAGCCAGACTGTAGGACTCTAAAGCCACTTTCTGAAGAAATGACACACCTGTTTTTTTTTTTTTCTTTTTATGATAATTCTAATACACATGACTATAGCTTTAAAACACCTCTTGAAATTAATGTTGACTACACTGAATAGAGCTGCATGCTGGGCTGGAGGGCACCAGTCTCCTCCTGGGGCTGACTGAGCTTCAGGGTGCAGGTGCTGGGCTGCTGGACAGGGAAGCAACAGCAGAGGCTGGCAGGGTGATTGGTAAAAGAAAAAATGTCACTGCCTACAACCACAGGTTTCAGGGGGTCCCTTGGACAAAGTTACCCGGCTCTCTTCCTCTCTGTCCCTCCTGTCATCTGGCCCCACTCAGACTGAACTGCCATTCGATGATTTCTTCTTCAGGTGTCTTTTAATTTGGTGACATCAGACACAGGAAAGCAGAATCCACCTTATGGAGAGGCCCACTCTCTGTCCCATCCATAAGGGACACAGCAGGCACCGAGGGGCGGGAGCTAGAGCTAGGTATGAACAGCACTGGTGGCATTTTGCTGGAGTTTAAGCCATCTGAGGGGCAAACCTGGCCTTGTGAGGCTGGGCATTAACTCCTTCTCACTGTAGGAGCCACCCAGGATGATGTTTGTAGAACTAACCTTGACCAAGTGTCTTGGGAGAACACAGACATGCACCAGGCAGCACCAGAGAGTGCACAGCCATGTAAAACATGTGACTCACGTGCTGGGTCTCAGGAGCACGCGCAGATTATGTCCTCATTAGAGAAAACCAGTCAAAATCACTTGTGGAAATCACTCAGTGCTGTACAAATTAATGGGCATTAACTTGGCCTGGAAGGCTTCTGTTCATAGCAAATTTTTATTGGGAGGGAATTCATAAGAGAATTTGACCTGAAAGTATTTTCCCAGTATTTTGTTGTGCATAATTTGTACCACACGTTCCCTTACAATCTCCAGACAGTCACAGATTTAGTGTATTTCAGAATCCTGCGATGGTGGGCCTGCACAAAGGCCTAAGTGAGTATGAAAGTGAGTGCACTATTTAAAAGATTTCTTTCAAATAGAAGGTTTTTAAAAACATTTTTTTTTTTTTTATTCTTGTAAGGCCCTTCTCAGCGAGGCTTATCACAACTTGCTACCACCTCTCTCACACACTAAGACAATTTCTATAGCTTTCTAGACAGTGTATGTAGGCTTCCTTTGCTACCTATCAGGAAGAATGCATTTCAGTATAAAAACAAAATGAGCTCTAAACATTCTGGGACAGTGGGCAATGCACATCCCTTTGGAAACTGTAATTCCTTGGAATCACTGAGGTAATTCAGAAAAAACGTAATTTTACTGAATAAAGTATTTAAATTTTTCAAATTCTGTCAGTGTGGTCCTATTGGTGGGGCAATGCTGCGGCAGTGGCTGACATCTGTATAGATCTTGGTTTCTTCACTCTGGGGAGAGATCAAAAGTCATCTAACATTCTTTTCCATTCTAAGTATAGCCACAGATGTATGATTTCACAGTTCATCCAGAAGCAGAAGGGTTGATGACTGGAGACCCTCAAGAAAGTGCTGCTGAGGTGCCCACACCCCACGGCAGGCAGGGCAGACTGCCCTTGCCAGGCTTCCTGCGAGCCAAGCCCCAAGCAGCTTCTGCCCTGCTGTTGCCAGCCTCTTAGTCCGTACAATGAAATGGAGAAAAAACTACTTTGGAAAAAGTAGACGACTACATCAGGGCTTTGGGAGGATGGGGAAGCAAATGATTTCTGTCATTTGAAGGGCAGGGAGGCAAATATCACTTAAACTACTCCAGTGGGTTGTTCTACGAACATCAGTCTCAATGACACAAAGCAAGGATAACAAAACTGCAGTCAAACTATGAAGAATAAGTAAAGAACAAAAAATTGACACCAGATACATATAATGAATCATCTTGCTAGTTAATATGGCTCTGTGAAAATAATTATAAGTAGAACTAAAATCAAATGAATAAGGTGGCAAGTAGTTTTACAGATTTCACCTTTCATTTAATACAAAAAAAAAAAAAAAAGAGCAGACAGCCTCTTCATTTTTCCTGAATGTCATCTTTTGGCTGATGGCAGAAGCCAACCACTTTGCATGCTGATGTTCCCATAATTATAGTGGGATATCTTAAGTATACTCTCCAAATTATATCTGTTTGCGATGTAATATAGAAAGGTTACCGGCTCTATGGGCAAGGGTGTGTCTCACTCGCTCGAGGCTGCAGCATCACGTCACTTTGTAAGCATTCAATAAACACAATTAAAACTGACAGGTTATGGGTATGACCCAGCGCCCCCCTCAGCACACGTGGCTGGCCTGTCTCGGGTACCTGGGCATGGGTGGGGCTATCCCAGGCACAAAGTAAGCTCTGGAAATGTCTCTGTCAGCATTTTGTTTTGCTGGTCTTGTCATCCCAAAAGTTGTCCTTCTCAATATGATTTCTGTTACAAAATTCCATGAGTCACAAGCATTAAGACCTGATAGGAATTTTCCATCTCTTTTTCTTTACCCATATGAACACATTTTCTGATATCTCAGTAACTAAATTTTCTATAACATTCACCCAGTAGTTGTACAATACTGTAAGGTTGTCGAAATCTTCCTTAAATTTCCTGCAGATCCTACTGGGAAGGAAGTTGCGTTCCCAAGAGATTCTTTATACTGAGGGGACAAGTATGGATAGCAATCACTTTTGAAGGCTACTGCAAAGATTCAAAATGCTACCAAACCAAAGGGGACACACTCCTGCCTTATTACATCAAAATTTAATATGGTAACAAATGCACTGAAAAAAAATATGCATCTTAAATGTGAAGTTTATTGAAGCTGGTTTTCTCTAAGCATTTACCAATTACCTATAAGATGGTGGCTATGGACATCCTTTGATCAGACAAAAGCCTTGCTTGGTTTTTCTTAACAATTAATGTTAATTTGGTGACAGTTGATTCTGCTTTCTTTATGTCCCAGAGAGAAGTAGAGAATTCCTTAACTGTAAGCATTTGTTGGAAGACACATATACAACTCCTTTGAGATGCCCTTTTTTGTTGTGTTTTTCTCCCTGGCCTATTGCTCCAGAAAGAGGAAAAGCCTACGTGACAGAGGTCTGGGACACTGCCTCTCTAACAGCCTACCCTACTATTTCAAAAGAGAACTCATCAGGATGAGAGGGAAACCCACAATGGTGGATGACATATAGAACAGGGTATGCATATGTGCAGCATGTGGCCCCTCGTTCTGGGGTCTCCAGGGAAGAAGGGGCTTCGACTGGGACAAAGGCCACACGCCTTCAGAATTGTCCCCCCAGAGGAAACCCGGAGATCCAGTGTCGTTGCAGATCCGATGGAGTCCTGCAGGAGGGAAGCGGATGGCAGTCTGCCAGGGTCATGTAGGGGTCGCCCAGTCGGCGCTCTTGGGGGCCTTGCACGTGTGCACGTCCAGGGCCTCCAGGCAGTCCTGACAGCGCACAGCACAACACCAGTGGAATTTACACTCACACTTGGTCATCTGGGTGATGCGGGAGGTGTCATAGCCCCTGCCGCAGCACATGACTTCACAGCTGTCCATGCCTCTGGAAGTCAGATTGCACACTCGGCCTGCTGTACCCAGGGAGCCTGGAAGACAAGCCAGAGAGGGGTCACCGACAAGACCAGCACACAGTATAGCATGTCTCCGGAGAACAGTCAGGAGAATCAGGCACCCGACAGCCTGGCCTCCTTTACGCAGCCTGGGGCTCTAATACCCTCTCTGTGTGCCCAGCTGTGTGCTGTCTCTGCAAAGTGCAGGGAGCTGAGAGGTGCTGAAGGTGCGCAGCCCAGGAAGCTATAGATTTGCTGTGGTAACCTGAACCCAGTGCTCCTACTTCAGCTTTTTAGATTGCCTGTACCCAGCCCTGCATGAAAGATCATCCAGTGGGCAAGGACAGATCAGAATGAGAGCTGAATCCTGGTTCCCTCCATCTCAACCGAAGGCCATGTTAAGGAAGCAGTGGCCAAATTGGTGGGGTGAGGAAGCCTCAAAGGGAGGGATGTGCTCACATTAGCTCTTTAGGACTCCATTGCTGGTGGAGAGGTGTGGGTCTTACTTGTATGAGGTCTTTGGGGGAGGGGTGTCATGGTGACGCTCTAAAGTGGCTCCCAAGCCACATGTGCTTCGGAAGTGACTACATCACGGGGACGTGACAGATGCTTTGTGGTTGGAGGTGGAAGACTCCGGTCATTGGGTCATGACCCAGAAGACTGCAACCCCCTGTGTTGTCTCCCCTTTATGCTCTGCTTCCTGGCTGCCAGACCCTTCCACCATGCCTTTCTGTCTTGGGGCCACCAGCTATGGGTAAAGTGGGTGCACCAAAATAAAGTTGTCCTTACAGATACAAAAATTTCATTTCTTGTTATATAGGTCTTGCTTTATCTTGGTCTTAAACATCTGCAGAAAAGTATAAAACTGAGGTATAAAAAGTAAAGCCATATTAATATGCTGAGCTGTAAAAAGCTCAAGTCAACAACTTCTGACATTGCCAGTCCTACAGATAACCTACTACTATTATGGACTACTGGACTATATTGGATTATTTTGCTGAATTCACACACCTACAATATTTGAATGGCAATGGAATACCCATCTCTGGCAAAAATAAACAAAAAAGGGGGATATAAATGAAGGACCACTTTGTAGTGAAAAAAATACACATATGTATCTGTATATACAAAATAGGAGAGATATACAGCTACTTTCTCTTAGTTCAATGAGAAGAAAGAGTTGTACTAATACTGGTTAGACAAGATATCATGTCTGTATCTTGTACTATGAATAACTACTATGAAGACAACAATTTGCAAAGTATTAATTATTGTAACTGTCCTACTGACCTGTTTTGAAACTGTCTCATTGCTATTTCTTTCTCAATAAAATTTAAAGAAACCAAAACAAAACAAAACAAAACAAAACAAAACAAAATAAACTTGTCTTTCATGCCGTGATGGGAAAGTGACTGGGTACAGTAGCTGGTCTGCTTTATCAATAACTCTCTCTTGGAGCTGGGGAGATAGCTCAGTGGAGTAAGTGCTTGCCTGACAAGTACAAGGTCCTGGGTTCAATTCCTAGTACCACCAAACAACAACAACAACAAAAACAAAAAACAACAAAAAACCCCACCCTCTTTCTTGTTACCACTACAGTCTAGCAGGCCATAGAGGAGAAGGCCTCTGTTTGAAGCTAGGATTCCATGTCTTCAAGGAATAAAACTAATGTTAAAGAAAAAAACCTGGTAGGTACTGTTTGAAATGTTTGCTCAGGAGTAAACCACAGTTATGTATTTGTTTTCTGAAAAAGAATTTCAGATAGAAGAAATTTCCATTTGCCTACTTCTAAGGAAACTTCTGGAATTCTTTTGCAAGCGCATCATTTTCAGATGGCAGAACCAAGTGAAGTGGGCTTTTGAGGGAGCTTCCTGAGCTTACACTAGCAATTTCTATTTTTAATTCCACAGAAATGGGTGCCTGGCAGTCATGGGGAACAACAGTAGCTTGCTTACTAGCAACAGATGATTGGATGAGGGTGGGCCGCTGACACACTCAGGGCCAATCAGATCTTCCTGGAGCATGGTGGTTCTGCCAGGCCTAGTCACTGTCTGCATAAATTCTGGCCCAGAACAGCCATACTCTGTGAAGAGGTCTGTGGAAAGACAGAGATCTATAGGGACACAGGACTAAAGGAAATGTACAGAGACAGGGGAGACCAAAGAAGGAGAAGGATTCTGCCCAATGCCAGCCTGCTTTGTGGTTCTTCTTCCATGTCTCCTAGAGTCCTGGCTGTACTCCTACCTTTGAGTTTGTAGAGACTCTGTACCCTCAGAATTTTCCCTTTTTATGTCAAACTGCTTTCACTTCTAGTACTTGTAAGCAGCAACCCTAAATACTTGATAAACTTTGGCTAAATTTCTTATTTAATAAAAACAAAACTTCCAGGTATGGTAGAAGACATCTATAAGAAATCTTGGGCCCTTTTGGTTTTCTGAGCAGCACCATGGTGGTAGGTAAGAATAAGCACCTTATGAAAGGTGGCAAAAAAGGAGCCAAGAAGAAAGTGGCTGATCCATTTTCTAAAAAAGACTGGTATGATGTGAAGGCGCTGGCTACGTTCAACATAAGAAATACTGGAAAACCACTCATCACCAGACCCCAAGGAACCAAAATTGGGTCTGATGGGCTCAAAGGTCACGTGTTTGAAGTGAGCCTTGCTGATCTGAAGAATGATGAAGTTGCCTTTAGAAAATTCAAGCTAATTACTGAAGATGTTCAGGGCAAGAACTGCCTGACTTACTTCCATGGCATGGACCTCACCTGTGACAAAATGTGTTCCATGATCAAAAACTGGCAGACCATGATTGAAGCTCATGTTGATGTCAAGACTACCGATGGTTGCTTGCTTCATTGGTTCTGTGTTGGCTTTACTAAAAAATGCAACAATCAGGTACGGAAGACCTCTTATGCTCAGCACCAGCAGGTGCGCCAGGTCCGGAAGAAGATGATGGAAATCATGACCCGGGAGGTGCAGACAAATAACTTGAAGGAAGTGGGTCAATAAACTGATTCCAGACAGCATTGGGAAAGACACAGAAAAGGCTTGCCAATCTATCTATCGTCTTCGTCAAAAAAGTAAAAATGCTGAAGAAGCCCAAGTTTGAATTGGGAAAACTCATGGAGCTTTGTCATGAAGGTGGTAGCTCTGGAAAGGCTACTGGAGACTGGAGCCAAAGTTGTATGAGCTGATGGATATGAACCACCAGTCCAAGAGTCGGTTTAAGATCTAGATTTTTAATAGTGATAAACAAAGTCCTATTTGTGATGGGGGAAAGAAAAAGGAAGAAATGCTGGCACTCTGAGAAGCTAAAGCAGAAGGATTGCAAGGTCAAGGTCAGTAGTAGTAAGATCTTGAGTCAAAGTGAAAAAGGCTGAGGAAGTAGCTCAACATTGAAGAGTTTGGGGTTTTTTGCCAAGAAAAGAACGAATGAACAAAAGAAAGAAAGGAAGGAAGGAAGGACGGGAGAGGAAGAAAGGAAGGAAAAGAAAGAGACAGAAGGGGAAGGAAAGGAAAGGACAAGAGAAGAAAAAAGAAAAGCAGCTTATCTGGGGATAGAAAACAGTGACTTATTTTCAACTGCTCCATCACTAACTAGGAATGCTCTCTCTTCAGAACTCCTACAATGCCTTGTGACTGTTTATCACAGTCCTCTGTGTTAGTTATCTGTACAAATGTCATGTTGCCCTGCCTGCTCAGAATGACCAAGGAAGCAGCAAGGTTCAAGCAGGGTGTAGGGTCAAGAAAAGCATCAGAGTCTACTCTGCCTTGTCAGCCACAGAAAGCAGGAAGATCGGCAGAGGAATTTCATTAGGACAGGAAGGATGGCAATGGGTTGGGCCTGGGTGGAGGGCAGGTCAGCAAGGGGTGGCCCTGAGCCCACATCATGCTGAAGAAGCAAAGGGTTAGAAGAGGCAGCAGCTTGGCCTGGACTTGGAGCAGCACCAGGACAATGTTCAAATCACTGATTGCGCAAAATCACTCACCACCAAGCGCTGCCTCTTAGTATCACCCATTTTTTTTTATTCAACAAACACAGTGAACACAAGCAGGGATAGGATTTTGTGTTGGCTGCTTAGGGTTTTGTGGAAAGGGAGGGGACAAAATAAATAGGACACAGTTCCTAGCCTCAGGGGACTCATAACACAGTAAAGAGCTAAATAAGAGGAAGGATATTTCTGTTACTTCCAGATAACTTTTCATTGGATCAAGTCCTACCAAAACCCACAACAAAGTCATGTACAAAGTACCATAGCAGACAAAGCGATAAAACATGTAAAGCGAAGTTGTTTAGAGTGGGAACAAGGCAGGATGCTATCCTAGAGCTGCTGTGTGTGCGCTGTGTGATTGTGGGCATGTTACTTGAGCTTGTTAGGTTTCAGTTTTCTTTCATGCAGGGTTCTTTATTCATGGGCCTTGTGTGAAGACAAAATGAGATAATATGTACAAGACCGGGTTACACTAAGTGCACAGTAAATGTTAACCACTCATTCATTTAGCGAGTATTTACTGACTACCTATGCTGGGCACAGTCCTGGGAGTCTGGGATTTATCAGAGAACAAAGCAAAGATTCTGTCTTCAGAGACTTAATAGAAAAGGGGTGTGAGCCAAGTAAATTACTATAATGATATTTCTTGGGATTAATAATAGAAAATAGGACCAGACAAAGGGTCCTCAACTGCATCGTTTTACAGAAGTGACATTAGGCATAAGATGTGAAGGATAAGTAGATTTTCAGGGGAGGGAAATAATGTTGTAAAAGGCATTCTTTACAAGACAGAATTCCCAGTAGAGATTTCAAGGGCCAGTTCACAAGAGTACAGATTCAATGTGGCTGATGGATAGGACGCTATTAGGTAGGCAAAGACATAGGAAAAAGACTGGAGCAACAGAGTGAAGAGATTGTATGTGTCACTACAGATTAAATTGCATTCCATGGTGGGTGGTGGGCTAGTTCAGAATTTTTAAACAAGGAAACATAAAAGAGTGATAAATCTGGGCAAGCGGCTTGGGACCAGGAGGTTAACCTTGAGA